TATACTAACATTATGAAATTAAAAATAATGTTAGTCCTTAATTTATTTAAAGTTTTCAGCTCTTTTAATTCCTACTAAAAACAGATACTTAATAAGTTAACAAGCGAAAGTGTAAGCTTCCAATTTTGAATTTCTTTTACTTAATTGTAACTTATCGAATAATAAATATATTTGTGACTAATCATGACTTATCAATACGATTTAAGTGAGTATTGATACACTTTGCATAGATTAACATTATGGACTTAAAAATAATGTCAGTCCTTAATTTATTTAAAGGTTTCACCTCGTTTAATTCGTACTAAAAACGGATACTTAATAAGTTAGCAAACGAACTTGTAAGCTTCTAATTTTGAATTTCTTTTACTTAATTTAAACTTATCTAATAATATATTTGTGGCTAATCGTAACTTATTAATACGATTTAAGCGTGTATTAATAAATTTTGCATATATTAACATTTTTATGAAATTGAAGATAATGTTATTCCTTAATTTATTTATTTGTAAAGCCTATTATTATTTATTTGTCTGTTACAAATTGTATAGAGCTTACGTTAAAAATTACTTCATATATCTTAAGGAGAAGTTTGATTAAATAACACTCCAACAATTGAAAATCACTGTGTAGATAATGAACTTATGAACTCTTTTTCGAATGAAAAGATCCTGGATCACAATTTCAATCAGGAAGGGCTGTAACATACTTGAAAAAAATAAATTCTACATTCAATTATAGTATCGGAACTTTTAACCATAATACTGCACACATTTGCTCCACCCTTAATGAAATATAACCATGTTTAACCATAATATAGTTTAATTAAAGCTGGAAGTACAGTGATAAGGTTCACATTAGCACCATATTATGATTGATGAAAATTTGAACGATAGATTCGCTTCCCATTCTCCAAAATGCTTAAATGTTTAGTTAGTTATGATCATAGTACGGATAATATAAACAGAAGACTATTGTTTACAATGCTCTTGAAATTATATTGAAATAATTTAGTTTAATTTGGATTATTTAATTATTGGAATAATTAATTAAGTTGGATAATTTGTTCATATTGCCTGTGAAGTATTCATTTTAATTTTTTACAATTATAGAAAATATTTAATGTAACTGCTTTTCTGTAACAAAAAATTTTTAAAAAAATATCATTATCTTTGCAACTCTTATTTAGCTTAATAATCAATATTTGTAAAATCAATAACGCTCATGTTCAATTTCTTTTATTTTTTCGGTTTTCCTTTTTTTGATTGACTTATACATACAAACATTTCAGTTGCGTAAGCATGCCGGCACTCAAAGTTATCGAAGTTGAATTTTTATCGAGAAAATTTGTTTCCGCCTCATTTTGAATAACCTTTTTATCTGTAAATAAAATGAATATGTAAAAAGTAAAGGTGCAGTACTAAGGCATAGGAGATAAACAGTAGATAAAACCTATGAAGGGTCTTAATTATATCAGTTTACAAAGTGTGAAATAATCGTACGTAGTCTTTTGGGAATTATTTTATACACATCATTTATAAGAGTTCTGAATTTAAAAATTAAGCTGAGGCATTTTTTTAAAGTGTGTTTGATTTCATATATATTTAAACCCAGTTTGGATTTCATTGCACATATTTATTTCTCAAATATGCTAAATGTTTTTTTCTCCCTTCTTCTCTTAATTTTTTCTTCTTTTTTATTTTACAAAAAAAGTAATCTTTTTCAACCTGTTTAAACAGTTAAGAGAAACATGGAAGAATTAAACAGTTTTCTACCAAAATATTTTTCTAATTTTTTCATCAAAATAAAAATTTCCTATAATGATATCCTATGACAGGGGTGGCAAACCTTTATACACCAACGTGCCAATTTTTCTAAAAAATTGTTTAATGAGGTCATAGACGTGCCGTCAAATAATTTTGACTTCGTGATTATTTGGAAAATAATAATACTAAATACTTATTAATTATAATAATCAACTCAAAACTCTTTATTTACATTGAAGGAAAAATACATTTTGCCATGTCTTAAAACAACTTAAAGTAACATCAGTGTGAATTCTGTTATTGCAGATTTGATGACAAATAACTTATATTAAGTTGTAGGATGTTAGTTTAAGCAGAACAGTATTTTTTGCTATTTATTTATTGTTAGCTTGTTTTTTATGGTTATTAAATGTTTTTTTAGCATTAATTGTTAATTTTTTTATTAATGATTGTTTATTATTTTGTTCGTTTTAATTTTATTTTAATTGTTACATATGCTTCATAGTGTAATAATATTTGTGTAATAACAATTCATAGTGTAATAACAATTGTGATCGATGGCTTGCCCAAAATATTGTGTCTCGTGCCATAAATGGCACGCGTGCCATTGGTTCGCCTTCCCTGTCCTATGATGTTTGTCAATTATTTAAATCTATTGTCTAAGTGGAAAAATTTAAAAATAATTTGGTTTTCATTATACATATTAATTGCTCAAAAATGCTAAATAGTTTTTTCCTTTTTTCTCTTTTTCTTTTCCTTATGTTATTATTATTATTTTACCAAAAAGTACTTCCTTTCCTTTAATTACTTAAATGGAATACGAAAAACAAGGAAGGGTCCACAAGTTTTCAACAAAAGTATTTTTCTGATTTTCTCAACACAATAAAATTTTACAATATTAATACATCTTAGAGTTTGCCAATTTATTTTGAATAAAAAAAAGAAGAATTTGGTTTTCATGACACACATTTTTGCTCAAATATGCTAAATGTTTTTCTTCGTTATTTTTACTTTACAAACAATAATTCTTTTTTTTTTAATTATTTAAGCAGTATAATAGAAATGTAGAAGAATTAACCAATTCTCCACAAAAGTATTATTCTAATCGTTTCAACACAATAAAATTGCACAGCATTGATAACCCATAGTGCTTGCAAATTTATTTTCTGCTTGAAAAAATTTGGGAATAATTTAGCTTTAATTATGACTATTTTTTGTACAAATATGCTAAATTATGTATATATATATATATA